GGAAGAAAACAGAAAGAGGAAAGAAAAAGAGGAAAATTATAAATAACATAAAATACACACTTTTAAGGTTGAATATAGAAGAATCAAACAGAGCGAAACAACGACAAGAGACAAAAAAGGAAAAATTATAAATCACATGAAATACAGACTCTTAAGGTTGAACATAAAAGAATCAGACAACGGGAAGAAACTACAAGAAAAAAGAAAAAGAAAAAAGCGAGTAAAACAATCGAAAGTGAAAAAAGAAAAGGGGAAGCACAGGAGGGGACAAAGGAAAAGACGAAAGGAAAAACACTTATCTTTATACTACACTTAGGAATAAAAGGAATTCATAAATACAAAAGACAAATGAGGGAAGGAAAAATATATATGTAAAGACATGTATATGTATACTCCTCAGCTATTAGCAGAACGACACCTCTGCGAGCACTGTCCCTAAAAGAAAACAACCTCCTTCAACTACACATCTTAATTAACATATGACACCAAATAAAGTAAAAAGAGAAGAATGGCATCGTTTCCAGAATTCTCAAATTATTCCCAGATTGAATATTCTTCTTGATAATGAGAATCTCTGAATTCTGTATAATTGTATATGACGACATTTACATCACATTTCAGATGCTATATTCCGAATGAATGACCCCTTCATTTGATCTTTATATTAACATTACATTATATTGGCCATAAAATGAATACCATGGTGTTGTAGGAGAATAGGAGGGAGTAAGAGGAATTTACAATTATTCTATTATCATTGGAAAAATTAGAAACTGTTTCTTACGAGTAAATAAATCCTGCAGAGAAATATTTTTTCTTTTTTTTTGTAGAAGTAAACCTATTATGCGTATGAATATTAATACGGAAACTGATAATTTATCGTGTAATTTATTATGAAGCCTTATATTTTACAAATCGCGGATACATTATAAGATTTATCTCATAATTATTGGGGGATGTGTAACTCCATATGAAGACGCTATACAGAACTTACACCTGTTTAGGATTTTAATTAAGGAAGATATTTACATTGACTTATTTTTCCTTCATAGTAGGATTTGTGTAGAGAAATATGAAACCACTTAAGACGGAAACAAGTGAAAAAAATAGATAATATAAAATATATTTCTTTGAATGAAATCAATTAAAAATAATAATTTAATCTATCTGTAATAATGCGAAAAATATCTTCTCATTCAGGTGATTCTTCGAATAAAACTCACGCTGTAGAAAACTTCTTAATTAAGCAAATAATATAATCAGGGGGAATTTTCATTCATCCCTAATTTATTGTTATATATTTAATTATATTCTGATATATTTTCATTTATTTTTATTTACTTTTATTTATTTTCATCTATTTTTATTTATTTATACTTATCGCATGCATCGAGTAGCCTCTGTTTTTTTTTTTTTTTATTCTTTAACCATATCGCGCCCTTTAATAATAACGCATTTCATTTCTTAGTTGTTAACACCTACACATTGAATAACGGTTGGCCCTGATATGTCATAAAAAATATTCCCCAAACGGGAATTAATTCCACATGATACCATCTAATCCTTCCATAAAGTGTTAACACAAGAAATAGCATAATTGAGAAATGTAAAGCGCATTGCAGATTGTCTTCATGATCATATCAAGGGACGTTTCCAATTATTCATTGGACAGAAGGCATCTATTCTGTGTGAATGGAGAAAGTGGTTTCTAACCGCAAAAGGGTCCAGTATAATCCCCCCCAAATGGTATCAGAATTTTGCTTCAAATGTTATAAAGTAAACCTTCATTTCGGCTCATAAGCATTGGTATAATCTTTCCCCTTCAGAATTACACCTGTAGCATCAGGAATTCATGACCTTCACGACTGTATCCTACCATGGCGCATGAAATGCTCATGCGCCCCGTTAATGCCATTCATCAGAGCTGACCCGTTTTAATTGGTACTAATAAAGTCATAGTATACAATGAAAAATGTTATCCCTTTGTTTATTCCGTACCAATCATCCGGATTTCTTCTATGCAGTGAATTGCTCTTCCTATGGGTAATTATGTCATAAAAGAAATCATTCCCAATTCAGAAATTATTCGGCGCGAGGTTATCGGACCCTTTTTCCGCATTTTACCTATACGGAAAAGGTTTCTGTGGCGTATGAACCATTTCTATTTTGCCTCGGAGTGTTCAGTTATTCCTCTCTGTGTGTGGCCACATGGTAAGTGAATCATCATATTTTAGGGAAGCATAGTCATGTTGCTGAATTCTATGCCTTTATCTAACTTATGTACTTACCTCCCCTCCTGAGGAGAGATCATAATTCTCCTCACCTAACATAGAAACGAAGAGGAAAGTCTCATGCGAAATTCTGAACTCGTCTGCTGTGTACATCTTTGGTCACAATGCATGTAACTCCTCTTGAGGGGAACTTTTTAAAGATACAGAATGAACGACTTGTATTCGACTCACGGGGCTTCTTACAAATTCATATAAACAGATTATATATTTGCACTCTGTATAATTCCTCTTAGTGGTTTTATTGCCGTAAGGATTGCTAAAGTGAGGAATCCTGTGTAACCGAAACCCGCTAAATTCTACAATGAACCCTATTTTTAGCTTCCTCCACACCCTCAAATATCTTATTCTTCCATACCTATTTAAGTGGAAGTTAACAGACGGGACAGAGACTACGGAAACGTTCAAACTAGTGAATAGGAACAAATGAAATAGTAGATTAATCATAAGATTAGTACAGGACGGAGTGCAAAAGATGGAATCTACCTCGAAACATAGATGAGCAAAGGGGGAGTAAAATTGGTCTAATTCAGCCAATCAATGCATCCAGCGTATTGACAAAGAAGAGGGATGAGAAACACGTGAAGAGACACTTCAAGTAAGTCCATTAGTAACTTCCTTCATATGAGCAGTGTCTTCCAATTGCTGTAACCCTCCTTTTTGAAGAAGCCAAAATATCATTTCTCAAAAATTAAAACAATGTAAGAAGTTAGTTCACTTTAAGTAAAAATAAAACATACTACAAATTAAGTTTAAGAAAGAAGAAACAAAAAAAAGCAAATGAACATAACTCGTAACGATGAACAGAGATGACGGGACGATTCCCCCGCCTAGTAGCAGTCTCCATTTAATAGGAAAACCACAGGGGACCGATGGCCATATGTGTATATAGCTACATATGTCTCCAATTTTTGGAAACTACAGAAAATATGCAAATGATGAGAGAGTGTAAGTAAGCACTCGCGATGCGACACCTGTAGACTCATCGAATTATATTAGCATCAGGGAAAACAGAAAAAATCATGCTTGAAAATACCATTTCACAGTATGTAATATGGCGTAAAATTCATTTAGATGCCATTAATAGAAAGAATAAAAATAAAGCAATCAGATTTGGAGGAAATTAAGCCTATGAACCTTTTCCCCAATCTTCAGAAATAGGTGCCTATCACTCGTAAGAATCAACGGCTCAAAATTAATTACACACGTGGAATGGAGGACTAAGAATTCATTTTATACATTTTCTGAGGCTTCTAATGTAATCCTTCAAACGAGGTTTATATATACCTTCGAATCTCAAGTCAGATTTCAACACCTTTACAAGGATGTACAGATTTATTATAAAGCTCAGAGCGGACAATCCAACGCCCACAATACAGAGAGTTCCGCAGCTGGAGCCCTCCACTGTGCATAATACGACTGCGCATAATGCCATTACAATAGGTAAGGCCATTATGCTACCATATATCTTAATTTTCTGTAGCCAAAATTGAGTTTTGCTAATATCCGGATCCTTTTTACATTTATCTATGTATCCGTGCGCTTTAAAGAATATTTTCTCTATTTTAGAATCCAGGATTCCGAAAGGGTTACGTACTACTCTCTTCTTCGTAGTGTTCTTCATACTGTCTGAAGCGGAAGGCACAACACCCTTGTCTTCAGTCTTAATGGAGGCCGTAATTTCTCCTACGGGCTCCTGATGCTCCTCCATTTTAACTACTTCCGCATCCATTATCCTGTGCTTGCTCAATTTCTCTTTCTGTATATTAATTTTTTCAAGTGCTTCATCTAATCTCTTTTGATATTCTAACGCAATTGTTGTTCTTGCACTCAACGCTTTCTCCTTCATTGATTTAATGTCTTCAAGTGCTTCACCCAACCTCTCTTGATATTCCATCACCTTGGTGATTCCGGCAGTAAGTGCTCTCTCTGTCACTGATTTCATCTCTTCCACAGCTTCCGCGAAGTTTCTTGTATGATCTCCTATATTAATCATTTTGATGTCCCTTATCTTTTGCTTCAAAAAATTAAGTCCTTCTGGATTTTTCTCTATTCCTTCTTCATGTTCCGGACATTTTAGTATTCCTTCGTTGTCATTTTTTTCCAAAATGCGGAAGTCAGCGGAATTGTCTAAATTATGTCCACCCTGTAATAGAAGTTCTTGCTTCACATCATTTGACAGGGGTTCTTTATACATAGTTGCAACATTCTGCTGATCTTCTGGAGCTTGCTCCTCATTTTTCTCGATGTCTGATTCCGAATCACATACTAATTCAAGTTCTGTATCCATTTGTGCTAATAATAGTCTACTATTTCTCAGTTTCCCTGTGTCATCAATGCTATTCGTCCTTCCTAAATGTGCACTGTATGAACTCTATGGAAAGGAATTATGAACAACGGCATGATTGTTAATGAAAGGAACTGTCTCATTGTAACATCCTTATCCGGAATTGTATGCTGTTTCAGAAATAAATAAAATAAGGCTTTTGAGACGCTATCATACAATATAATACATACCGGGCTGTTATTGTAGTGACTTGCTAATAGGAAAGGAAGTAGCATAGAAATCTTTGACAAAATGGCGGACATCATTTATCCCTTTCGGTTTTAACTCTGTTCTCTTTAATATTATCTGTCATATGTAACTATGATACAGATAGGGGGTTGTCCTTTTTGTACATAAGTACGTGTGTATATATATGCATATCTGCATATTCATATCCATAAATACCTGCTTATTTACATGTATACATATCTATTTACTCATGTAGGTACTTAGCTATATACTCAAATGCACATATAGGTACAGGTATAAAATTATATAGATAGATTATACAGAATTCTTTTGCTTTCTTCCTGTGTGAGTTCTTAAAACTGCCAGTTTACGTCAAGAGATAGCTTTCTTCTTTTTTTTATTCCCATTTTTTTCATCACACATATTAAGAGGAGTGTTAAATTGGGGTTTCCACAAGTATGTATATAATCCATGGGATAACATATATAATTATGGATTTCTCGTGAAGAGACATTCTTAACATTCTATTTCTTCAGGGTCTCTAAATTAGTGACAATACAGAAACTATTTTTAATTAGTACAATATAATATCAGCATAATTTTACGTAATTGAACTTGGCAAAACTTTTTAAAGAATACATAAACTAATCAATCGTTTCATTCTAAAACAGGGAAGCTTTTTTTCATATATTTCTCTTTTTCTTTTTTCGAAAAAAAAGTATTCCATGGATAGCATTTAAAACCGTGATCATACTAAAAGAATTGAAGGTATAATTCTGAGTGAGCCACAGAGATATAAACAACAGTGGTGCCGGTACGATCCAGGAAATATTTGAAAGTGGAGAAATCATTAACTGTATTATACGTCTTGTTGCAGATTCTTAATCTCAAACGCGTACACTTCTAAGTGCGCATGTATGAAGAAGCAGTTATGAGCGAAAAAATATTTAATTATAGTCCTGAATGGGTAATTGTCTTCTACTAAAAATATAGGTGGAAAAAGAATATATTTTTTAAAAACTTACGTGAATAGGTACTATTATATATACATATATTATTTTAAACCGATAGTTCAAACATAGAACTTCATAAACCCGTGTTTTATTATATTTTTTTTACAAACCTAGCGCGAAACAAAATCTCAAGGAAGGATATCAAAATATCTGAGCTAAAATCAAATGTCTTATTTAATCTCTTTTTATCTCAGAAGTTTCAGTGCAACATGCCTTTGCTTATTTTTCCTTCTTTTTTCTTTTATATCTTTCTTCGTCTTTCATCCCTAAGGGCATTACTAAGCAGGACGCTGAGGTATATTCCATTTATGGAAAAATTCTTCTGACTCCAATAGGGTATATTATTCATATCATACACTCTAGTACTATATAAACTTGACAAAAGCAGGAATTTTTTTTTCTTTTTTTTCTTAAAAGGATCAATTTATTCCTAAATGTTTAAATATAATCAAAGCAGCCAAGAATCCATCATTTCTCTATGTTCATTAAGAATAGCAATATTCCTTACTCCTAATTGTTGTAATTCCCGTTTTGGCGTTCTCTTTTTTTTCTTCTTTTTTTTTCTTTTTCCCTTTTTGGAAAGGATAACTTTAAGCACAAGAAGAAAACTTAAAATGGAAATATCCCTGTTAAGAGTAAGGGCATTTCACAAAGTTCAAAAGAAAAAAAGAGGAACGGACAAGCGTCGAAACTTTTCAACTGAGAATCTTGAACAGGAGTTAAACTTTTGGCGCACCTCCTTTCGCATCATGATCTTAATAACCTAATTTGCAATATCGTCATTCCTTTCCATCTAAGTGCGGGGACACGTCTTTTATTTTTTCTTTTTCTGTGCCATTATGATATAGAAATATGGACCCTTTGTATACTTCGTATTTATTTTTCTCTATAGAAATGAATAAATTCCTACCGAATGCTATAACCCTATTGTAACAAAGGTATATGATTGAGAGGTACCATTTATTTTTTTTACGCTTTAAACAATTCCTCCAATATCCCAGATATTCTTCTTTATACAATGGAAATGGACAGATATATTTCAAGCATTTTAATAGACTAAGACGGAATGACAGGTAATCTTTCTAACATTACTTATTTTTCGTTATAATTTTCGAGAAACTTAGAATAAACTAGTGGCAGCTCCCCCCTTTATATCACATGACTTCGGTATATGCAGACTGCCATAAGATTGCAAAATATTCGCAAAGGAAACGGAAGAAAAGGGGGAATGCCTACCATAAAAGATACTAGCATTAAGGAACCTTTTAAATTGATTAGAAATATGTGGAATATCCTTTAATGACGGTGCATATAAATTTATATGTTGTGCGCATCTGTGGAACATTCATAATTATAAGAACGCTATTTGAAAAGTAACCCTTTGCTCAAATCTCACAAAATGAATTTTATCACTTCTTCCCTTTTTTCTTGCATTGCATACTTCTAAAGGTATTCTTTTAGGGCCAAGAGGCCTCATTATATGTTGTACGCCGTTGTTTAAAAAAGGGAAAGTAACTTTCTAAAATACTTAGCCTACTCGCCACATTATGCCAGTTATATGCACATATACTATACTGGTACTTATGACTATTTTCACCTCTATAAAGATTACTAAAGAGAGTCTATGTTGTGATCTCCAGCTGATCCGTCTCGTTACCCCTCATTTGGGCTCCCTCGAAGTAATAATACCAACAAGGGGTTAACCCAACATTTGACTTATTCGCCTACATGCATACTTTCAATTTGCATCCATGCATAATTTTTCTCCAAAATAAGAAAACATATCGTATCAACCTGTAGATGCCGTATATTATTATTCTTAGAACATACTGCACTATGGATTATTCGCCATGGGTGGTGAATATCCCGCTAAAATACTTTCCTTACAAGTAGGCAAGCATAAGCCAACTTACCCCTGCGCATAAAGTGGTGAGAGTACTCTCAAAATCGATTTTATTATTTTATGCCGGTTACATGACTCATCTTAAATATCCATATGTAGCAGTAAGGGAATTATCTAATTTTGAAGGATTTATGTATTCATTTATACATACATCTCCACCACATATAAGTAGGCATTAATGAGGGGAGTCTCAAACAGCAGGTAATTGATCCTCTGTTTCTTATTTCCGCACTACATGAGGTTAATCCTTAGGATCAGACGTCACAATTCCCAACTTATCACTAGCCTGTAGTCAATAGGTGTAGGAAAAAATCCAAACCGTCTGGTCTATATGTTAATAACACGATATGATGCCTAAATTGTGTTACTTAATGGGTTATCAAACGGGTATGGCGACTGCGGAAATTCTCCCTTCTGTGCAGAGAAATGTAAAGGGGGCTTCATTCCCACGCACCAGGGAAGAAGAACCTCAGTACATGCCACCATAACAACAACTCTCGCAAATAAAAAAACACGTGTGTCTGTTGCTAAAGTAATAATCAGATCCAAAAATGCACGGATCGTTGTTCGTGTTATGGTTTCCCTTATAGAGAAGATTATCAAGTTTTGTTATCGATGAAATCATTCCTCTGTGGATGCATATGTGAAACGGAAACAATACCAAGCTAAAATGGAGCCTTCTAAGAAAAATTATCTAGGCGAGTGAAGCCAAAATACTGGACAAACAAAGTAACAAAAAAAAAAAAAAGAAATCACCATTTGGCAGCCAGTGTCCTAAGGCGATCTATTAAAAGAAAAAAGTGGATCTTCTGGTTATCATATATCAGTAAGAAGGAATATAAAATAAGAATCTTAATGGATGCAGCCTCTTTTTTTTTTCTTTTTTTTTTCTTTTTTTCTTATCTTTTTATCACAGGAGAATATCAATAATGCGATTAAGTCAACTGAGATACTACGCCTGCGAGGTGTAGTGACCATTTATTTAGGACAAAAGAATCTTGCAGTAGCATGGCGCAAAGAGGACTGCAATTTTGTATTTTTCCCTAAAAGTATTGTATTTCATATAGTGACTTTTCATTGGAGATATTTCTTTACACGGACTGTTTATTAAACGTTTAGAATCTTCTTATGTCATTATTTTCTGGGGCCTATGAGTATCACTGTCCGAGTCGTATGGGTCTCATCATAAGGACATCACCGTTTTGCATTGCTCACATCAGAGAGACACGACCGCTGGGTATGGGTCGCCTCGCAGCAGCACCGTCTGGAATGGCCCTCCTTCTGGGTGCGTTATCCTCGTGTTCATGTTCATGTTGATACTTAGGTTTAATGAACATTATGACTTTGTATATCTTAATTCTGAGATAAATTATTATGATAATGGACAACACGAGAAGATAAAAACCCTTTGCTTGAGGAGACGCCAACATTATTATTGCACATATGGCAATCCCAAAAACTGAAGTCAACAACCTGAATCTGTAGGCAGCGCTTTTTAATTTTCCATAGAAGGATCTGTTTTTTTAAGAATACTTATTATTGCCTTCTGCGTGAGAGAATATAGAGCGCAGTAATTCATTCTCGATTTTCTTGTTGATGTTTTTAAAAAAGTTCTTTATCGAATTGGATGATTCCTCTTTCTTGCTACAGTCACTTCTAGTGTCACCAAATGACTTCCTCCTATGTTGAACCCTTGTTATTTTATCATTCTGATAATCGTCCTGTCTTTGGAACCTTCTAGCAGATAGTCCACTCCACGGTTGTTTTGCCTCCCTGTCAGTGGTCCTCACTTGTCTTATCGCATTCCTGAAATTGTCCTCTACATCGTGTCTTGCTCCCTTTGTAAATCTAGGTCTCCTTCTGTTTCCGTCATAATCACATTGGGACTTCCTCTCGTCGTGTTAGTAGGCAGACTTCTCTCGTCTTCCATGGGCGTTTCGTCGAGATTGGTAGTAACTCCTCCTCTGATAATAGTTGTCGTCCTCATCGTAACTGTCTCCATTGTGATCGTCACCATTCTGATCGTCACTATCCCTATCGTCACTATCCCTATCGTCACTATCCTTATCGTTATTATCTTGATCGTCACTATCCGTATCCTCACTATTCTGATCGTCACTATCCCTATCGTCACTATCCTTATCGTCATTATCGTGATCGTCACTATCCGTATCCTCACTATTCTGATCGTCAATATTCTTTGAGTGATATTGCCCATTATCTAGATGGTCATGGTTATCATAGTTGTGTCTTCTACCCAAGGAGTCATATATTCTCTTAAACTCTTCGTTATTTCTGATGCTTTCAAATTTATCAGTGGTGAATTTTCTATGTTTATTATCAGGTAACTTCAGATTTTTTCGGATGCTATCGAAATTGACGTCCCCAGATCGGTGTTCTATTTTGTATTCGTCATACGAGTCCTTGACGCCGGTGAAGAGGTCATCGGGTGCTGAGTTTATCAGGAATTTCTCAACCATTGGTTTGTATGTGGATTTCTCCAGGGATTCTAACTTTGATTTTAACATCATGCCAGGTGAGGGATCAGAGAATCCCGCGCGGAAGGCGACCTGCATAGGGTGTCCAGAGGAAGAGAGGGAATGGAAAAAATGGAAGCCATTCGATGTTTACAGAGATGCAAAACGGTGGGAAGGGGGCGTGTTTTGTTCACATGTGCTAACTGAGGGGCCTTGATATCAACATGTCTCATTTGTCGGCTCTGCTGGGGGTCACATTCTTATCCGAATAATGCCAGATTCCAACGAGGAGTGAAGCCCCGGAAGCTGTAAGAAAGCGAGCGGATATATTTCTTGTATTTTATTCATTTAGTTATTTATTTAGTTACTTCATCTATCTTACTCTCTTGGATTCTGTTTGATCCTATTTTCTCTTATTTTATACGATTTCTTCCTATTTTATTTTATTCTATTTATAATTCCGGCTGTGTTTCAAAAAAATATCCTTCAAACAACGCTTAAAGAGATAAATTGAAGTGGTAAATACAAGCACCTATACGTTGAGATAACGTTTTCCCAAATTATTTAATGAAGTCGGGTGATATGCCCTTTCTCTGGCCTTCTTTGTTTTATTTTTGGAGATATATCTTCTACATCGATATAATTCTTACGCCACCTTGTCCAAAGTTTTAAACGAAGATATACATAATCCCTTTTTTTATCAGTTCAGATGGGAAGAGATGAAACTGTAAAAAAACAGCGATTCCAGTCGGAATGGTATCTTCATGATAAAGGGGAAGAGACAGCCATGTAGAGACAGTAATAGGAGTTAGGAATATAAAAATAGGAATATAAATAAGAATAGAAATAGGAATAAGAATATATATAAAAAAAAAAGCGCCGAAAAACAAAAAAAAGAACAATGTAGAAGAATAAAAAACAGTTACCACTGCCACCATTCTGTTTTGCAATTTATACCCAATGATGATATATCCACCAACATCATTGGAAAAGAAAAGAAAATTGGGACGTTAACACGCGATTGCAATGAAAGGAACTGTACTATGTCTTTTACTCCAGTCCGACCTGCAAATATGGAGTAGAGAGAATGAATATGCACCATTCCATATAATGATCAATTGCACATAAAAAAAAAAAGAAAGAAAAAAAAACTAATTAAACGAATGAATAAATAGGATGGACAATGCGAAGCATATTTTTCTCCTGCTCTCTTGCGAAACCATTCTGTTTTATTGATTCTTATCGCATAAACAATGTTACCAACGCGGGCAGCGTAGACTCCATTTGGTTCAATTATAAATAGCTCACTAAACATGATAGGAGAAAAAAATTGACAACCTCTTTAGAGGGTGAGGGGGGAGTCTCTCCTAATCTGTGATGTAAGCATTATAATGATGGAAAAGAGGAGTTGCCATATTCCGATCTTAGAATATCTCTGGATAGGGCGGATTTTAATTAGTGAGAGACATGCGGAGGCGAGGTTTCGGCGCAGATGAAAATCATCTGCAGCCCGGATGCTGAGAAGGTGCCGCATTCCTTCCTTCTTTAAATTGGTACGATCCCCATTCTGCCTGCTTCCTATGTGCGAAATGCCACATTGTTTTTTTTACGCATTGCATTCTCTCTCAGTTGCTTCTTTCAGCGTTTTCGAACTGACCATATCATGTGTTCTCTGGAGATTCTTGTAACCCAAGTCCTAGCATCGATATATGTTTACCTGTGGTCCATCTTGATAATATCCTGTCTTCCTTCCCCTTTGCAAACACTCCAACAACATGCAGCAGAAATTGTTAAGCAGCAAGACAGACATAGACTATTCTTCTAATAATTCCCATCTTAACGAGAAGAGACCCCTTACGAAAGGATAAAGAGAGGGGGGAAAGAATTAGGCCAACATTACACCCAATGGTACTTCCTTCCTAGTGTTATAAGTTTACGTTTAAAAAGCGCAGGGTGCAAGTCACATGCATAAGTCGTATCTATAAATACTTCCATACGGGCATCGCCCCTCTATATTCTACTCAATGAGGATCACTTAATCAGGTGGCACAGAATGCGTTTCCCTCCCTTATCTTTCGATTCACTTTTAAACATCAGAACGAAAAAGGGGAAGACCCAAGATGCTATATGTGTTTTTACTTCAGTGGTTGCGATGATCATGCCTCCTTGGCATCTACCAGGGTTGTTTTTTCTGATAGGCACAACCAAGTGAGTTATACTTTCGTGGATAGTTTTCTCCCTCCCTGGTTGCGTCCCGCCGGACATTTGGAACACGGCAGAAGGGGCTAAAGAGATTCTTCGACCTGTTCATTTCTTTGATTATAGGAAAAGTGCGTATCCTTTCTATTATCAAGAAAGAGTGTCTACAGATGAGTCAGAAACGTTTTCGAAAGCATCCCCCTTAGAGCATTTCTCTCTGTTTTTTAAGCCGGTTGGTCGTTTACACTATGATTCACCCGTGGGTCACTACCAGTTTGGGGTTACTTTCGTTTTGGGTGAACTGAAATACGATGGGGCCTTATGAGGAAACCGAAAATGCAGAGTGCGCGGTTGTGGTTTTTCCCTATGTAGATGAACTACCCAACAAGTCTATTCCTAAGTAGCACAAATTGTGACACTGAAATAAGCTTCTAAAGGGGTTAAAAATTGTCGGTGCTTTTTCGGCCCTGCGAAAGCTTTCCTTTCTGCATGAAAGGCGGGCGTATATGCATGCAGATATATGATGTATATAGAACGTATGCCTTTTGTTAATTTTTTCTATTCGTTTGGGGCGCCTTCCTACGTTAGTTTCCGCCATGCAGAACAGCCCCAGCTGGGGACGCTGATGGTGGGTTCGTTGCTGTTCATACGGTTCCGGAGACGTCCATGCAAGGCTATGGCCAAGTTGAGGAGGAATTTCAGATACATAGATATATTTATATATAGGAATAATCACATGCATATCAGGCGTACGACTAATACATGCAAACATTCGCAACCCTATTGGGAGGGAGCAAAATGAAAGCCCCTTTTCCACATGGGCTTAACCTTAGAGCAACAAATGAAGGAGTGGAATCGGCCGTGTGTGAGAAATCACTGAGAGACGTTGTAAAAGATCTCCCTCTAACATGGTCCAATTTTCTTAGACGCGAATATTTTATAGAACAAAAGGGGAATATTTACATCAACCCCTTTTTTGCTTTTAGGCGAGTAGGTATGTCTATATATTAAAAATATGGATATACAGTAAACATCAATTAATTTCGATTTGGAAGAGGTTTACCGGGCTTCGGGTGATGCAGTATATATGCGAGGCATACTCCTCCGTCTCTGTTATACGGAAATTGCAAAATCTGCGATACGTGAGAATTTATTTTTTTCCTTGCATATGTCCTAGGAAGCGGAGCAGGAACTACGCTTTTTCGTTTCGAATATCTTTCGTTATATTGTTAATCTGCTCCCTTCAATTTTCCTTCTGTTTTCAGATTCCTTTCACCCCTCTGTTTTTGCTCACTCTTCCTTCACTGCTCTGCCAGTTTCCTAGTTTTTTCTGATGCGTCATTACCATTTCCATGTGAGAGAACAAATACCGTTGAAAATAATTACCAAATGGGACGCCACTATTGGAGATTTTACAATTATGCCTCTGCCCCAAAGAAAAAAAAAAAGAAAAAGAAAAAAAATTCAGAAAGCAATTCGTCTATTTGATTTACTTTTAAATGCGTACATCTAAATAAAACCATTTATATAGGACAATGTTCTTGCGAGGAAAAATGAAAATTCTCTGTTTATTTATGTATTATGCTATGTTATTAATGGTATGCTATCTTCCGTAATGCTATGCTTGTAATACTATACATGCTATGCCTGTGTTATGGATTAGCAAAGTAAGATGTTTTAGTGCGCCCGAAAGGCGGAGAAAAATATATATTAAAATAGTTCAAAAAGGAAATTTTTTATCAGAACTACGATTATTGATTATTTATATATATTCCCTGCTCCACGTGAAATAGATTTAATAAGAGGGGAATTATTGTATTCTACGTAATAACTTCAGTTATATGTTTATCACATTTATTTACCATTTCTGATAATTTCCAATGTATGGATTTTGGTAAAATAAAAAATATACGAAGAGTAAAGGCATAATTCTGTAATCCTTCATCGAGAAAGAAAAAATGAAATTTATTATCATATCATATACATCATTTTTAGGTCCATAATTATTTCCACTTTTAAATAGCAATTCTCTCATTTTTTACTTGATTTTATTATATTTTACTTTATTTGATTGTACTTCATTGTATTATATTGTATTCTACTTTATTTTAATTTAATTCTTTCTTTTCCTGGGGTAATTAACACTTTCTTACTTAAAGATATTATAGTCATGAAGCAGTTTTATTATTTAACCCACTGATTAAATTCATATTTATAAATCACACCAGTTTACATTTCGTAGAATATTCTGTTCATACTATTTTAAAATTTTTCAAGAACAGAAAACGAGGGAGATTTCTTCATGCTTTTCTAAACTGCTGCAGAAATGCTATTGTATTATTACAATTATAATAATTAACACTTCGTAATTTTCTTTTAAGAATTTTCTGCAAAAGAAAAAATGAAGGATGAGGAAGACCACCCCTTCTTGAAAGAGCTAAGAGAAGAAGTAATTTGTCATTGTCCATTTTGATTATTTTACTGATTTGGAAATACGCCTACATAGGAAATAGAGCGCTGTCGTCAAGTTCCTGACGTATGCATTTACCTAGTTTTACCTATTTTATGATACATTATATGTATTATATTTTTCTATCTCGTAGTATAAGCTTCCGGGAAATATATTGACTCCACCTACTAATCAAGAGGAAAAAAAAAGTAAGAATTTTTAAAAACACTCCATTAGTGTAACCGCATAAAGCATGTATCATTCCAAAGTGAACAAAACAAAAAAAAAAAAGAACCGAACTTTATTTTTCTTTACCTTCCTAAATTAACAACCAGCAGCTCAGGGAATTTCGATGGATTGTTTGATATCGTGTTATAAGGACGATTCTTATAATTGTCTAAGTATCGGAGGTGCAACTGGCAAATGCCCAGCGTGTTGTGATGAAGATAATGGCTCTTATTCTAATGATACAAATTTAAAGAACCTGTTATCTGATAAAACCACAGTAAAGAATCTATTGAAACTATATTATTTTCGAACAAGTTCTGGAAATATTAAGAATACATTGGAAAGTTCCAGAACTGAAGAATATAGAAATGCTTGCAAGTTTGTTAATGAATGTGTTGATATATTTCGAGAATTAAAGGAAAAACATTGTCCAGAAAAAACCTTTAAAGTTAAAACCGGCTCAGATAGAAACTCTTCAGATTCTAGTTCCAGTCCTGTATGTTATCAATTAGAAGAATTTTTTGACAAGTATGAAACGGTTCTCTATAAGGCTCTAGAAGGAGGAAGATCTAAGCACAATAAAATGTCATCCCTAGAGCAGCACCCAGACGCAGCTCGAGTCCGATGTAACCTAGGCGAAGACTTGTACTACACTCCATTCTTTAACATATTCAAATATAACAGTCGTCGGCTTACCCCATTTGGAAGTATCGTTTTTCTAATTTTTTTCATGCTTTTTATGATCCTGATGATGCATATTCTGGTTAAGGTAAGGCGAGGTGATGGATTATGCGACGCCACCGTTTCGTCTCTGCCATGTCGAGAGGGGGTATTAGGATATGTGCCTGCGTGTATGTATGTGTGTCTATGTGTGTTGTGTGTATGTACCTACACATATATACAGATGTATCTATATATGTATGTATTTCTTTTTTCCCTACCTGCAGTTCACCCCTATTGGAGATAGGATCAACCCTCGAGGGGCCCACGTCAGAAGAAAATGGAGAGACATACAAGCCGAAATTTACTACCCGAATAGTATGGACTACTATGGTGATGGTAGTACGTCTGATGCAAGTAGTATGTCTAATGAAGGTAGTACGTTTTATTATAGTGCGCCTGATGGAAGTAGTATGTCTAATGATGGTAGTCCGTTTTATTATAGTACGTTTGATGGAAGTAGTATGTCTAATGAAGGTAGTACGTTTTATTATAGTACGTCTGATGGGACTGGTATGTATAATGAGGGTAGTATGTTTGGTGAGAGTAGTAGTAGCTTCAGCGAGAGTAGTGCATCTGATGGGAGCAGCACGTATGATTCAAGAAGTACATTTTATTATAATACGTCTGATGACGAGACAGCGTCCACGGATGGCAGTTTCAGCCTTAGTTATCGATCAGCCAGGCGTTAGGAGTTCCTGACAAGTGGATGGAAAGAGGACGGGAGGGCTCCGCACTGGAAGCGTGGGAGGACGCATATGAATAGGGGCGCGAGTAGGTGAAGTGCTAATATGTAGGTGTTTGGAGAGAATGAATAATCGAACCTACGTCACTACACAAATCTTTGCAATATCATCTGGTTTACTGTTTGTACTATAAATACAGACTCTCTATGTAAATGTAGTAGTGATATATTTACGTGCATAATAACAGGGGTGATGAGAAGGCTGCATTTCATATTTCACCAAGGGTGGATAAAAACAAAAAAAAAGAAAGGAAAAAAACAGCATCAGCACACTTCTCCCATATGTTACGTTATAAGGAGAGTATTTTTCTTGTTTGCGTGCATAGTGGTACTAGACAGAACATAGAGAAAAACGCAGCGAAGGTGCTATTGGAATTTGAGAAAAAAAGAGAGAAGAGAAGAGAGACGATAATCAAAGAGGCAGATTTACTTCTTTCTCGCTGTTACATGAATAGAACTGAGCCTGTTTCCTTTATTCGTTCAAGCGTGGTCATACAAGTGAGGAAGAAAGGGTGACGGGTGGCTTCATTCCATAGAGTTCCTCTTAACCTGACGGGCGTCCCATCGCTGATACGAAGTACGGTTAGAGGTGCCTGAGAATGGAATACTTGTAACTTGCCAAGAGGAGGCGATGTTTGCGTGACCATGTGTTTTGGCGAGGAGGGATGACCAATGCTTCTGTTCATTCAACCCATGTTTCCAACCTCACACTCAATGAATTTGTGGCAGAAATGAACAGCAACAGTAGCAACAGAGAAGAAAATAATCCCGTCTCTGAATGTGATATGTATCTTTCTGCACATTTACCCCAATTTTTAAAAGCGCCATTCTGTGGAATTACAAAGTGGGGTGATAATCTCCGATTATTATTGAAGAAAGGTGTCTCTAACCGAAAGAACAATATATGTGAATAATTTTTTTCTGTTTTTCTTATGGTAAAGCTTCTTATCGAATGAGAAGAGAAAATAAGAGCCGGGGTCATGATACTTACCTGAGTAAACATACAACTCATTAATAGCTGGGCAATTTGGAAACTCCAAAAATTATATACTCATGAATATTTCCTGTATGTACTTAAGAAGACGCTTATGAAGTAAGATATAACCACATTTATCAGAGACTCTGCGCGTTTACTATAATTAGCATGCCTCTTTTAATATTGAATTAATATCAGTATACACAGAAACCATATTCCTCTATAATATTATATATATAGTATAAAATCCCAATCTTAACTCTATGGAAACATATATAGCATAAACATAAGCATTAATGAAAAAGCTTGTATAGAACCCAATGGATTATTAAAGAGTGTAGCTGCCACCCACAATATGCAAGAATATATGTTATCCTGAAAGAGCACTTCTTGAATGGGTGAGACTTACATTATGCA